CGTGCGAACCGGCCGCTCTCCACCGAGATCCCCGCCGAGCCGGGGTGCTCCCACCCCCCGTGAGCCAGACCTCGTCGGCAGCGCACAGCCCTGGGGCTCCGCGCGTGCTCGAGGGATGCAGCCGCGCGGGCCTGACCCCCTTGCGCTGGGGGTCTTTTGGTTGTCTTGTTTCTATTAAGAACTGCTCCCACATCCCGTCCTCCTGCAGGGGGGAAGGGGATACACTGAGGACTATGACTACGTTTCTCTGGAGGGCTGCACTGACAAGTAACTAGGAGCATCCAGTTTCTATGTTTTTCATACAGAAAAATGTGTACGCACAATCGTAGTAATCTTTTTATCTCTGGCTAACTTGACTTTTTTTAATCTAGGCTTGCTAGTGAATTTAGCAGTGAAAAGGGCTACACTTTTGTTGAACAGCTTCACAAAGTGAGTATTAACAATCTTTACCTGGTGTAGTAACTTCGTTTGTGCTATTGAAATATATTCTTAAACTCTTTACTTCCAGACACAATGCTCTCATTGACACAGGATTCTGATAAATTTAGTATTAAAGTATTAAAATGAGGTATCTAATATATACTTGAGAGTCTGATCCTTAATTACTCTCTAAGTAATAAACTGCATCTCCTTAAGCTGAGCCAGTAGACCAAGTAGATTAGTTATGGGTAGACAATCATATCTCCAAGAGATTTATTCAGACCTGTTACTGTACAAGCTCCTGGGCAGAAGTTAAGCCTTGTTGTCATGTTAGCTTCAAACTTGAAAGCAGGGTGAAGCAACTACGTGGGCACGATGGTGGGAGGCAGCTCCCACCATGGCAGCCTGTGGCTTTTGCTCATTAGCTTTGTTGTGCAAAAGAACTCAGAAGCAGCTAATCAGAGGCTCTGGAAAGCTTTACCAAACTGCCTCTCAAATATCCTAGGCCATGGAGAGATGCTCCTCTCGGAAACAGATGTGACATCAAGTCAGCACTATCTCCAGCTGTTTGTCGCAGCCTTTCTTTCAGAGGTTCCTGGTTGTGGTGTTTTACCAGCAAAGGGATCATATGAGTACTCCCCCCAGTCTGCTTTCTGCAAAGACAGCCAGGGTAGTTTAATGTGCCAGTGAAAATGAGTACATGTGCTAATCTGCTTCTCATAAAGCAATTAGGGAGCACTTATCTGATCCCCCCCTGCCAGCAGACTGGGGGATGATGAACAACAAGGGTAGGATCTTCTTTAATCAGCACAACCAGCTGTCGCCTCCCAGAGCTTGCTGCAGTTCCAGAGCATCAAAGGCTGGATAATGAAAGCACTTCTTGCTTTTCCTGATTGCCACATCTAGGTCCAGTGTATGCTGCAGGATGTGGGCTCCAACATCGCGACACCTCTCTCCTCAGCCAGGGAGGCTCACTTAAGTAAGCCCCAAAGTATCTTTCCTAGAATAACAGTTCTGGAATTAATGTTGCCTTCTGGACTGGCATTAGGGAGGCTCTCACTGTGTGTGGTAGTCAGAGATGCACGAGGGCTGCCTCACGAGCAAGGAAATAACACGCGGTCCCAGAAGCTGCTGCTGCTGTGTTTTTGTGACTCAAGCGACGGGGCCAGCCTGGGGCATTGCACCAAAACCCACGCCCCAGCCACGGCTGCTGAATGGGGAGCCAGCCCCACTGTAGCAGGAGGGATGTGGGGGACACTTTCTTATGACCTACTGATCCAAGTAATATCAAAGTAGAGCTTCATCTTCTATAGGTTGAATCACTTCTCTATTTCTTTTAGTTGATTTTTCTTTCCCCCCTGTAGAACGAACATCTTTTAGCGAGAAGCCAGTTCTGGAGCTGGAACAGTGGATTGACAAATACTCGGAACAGCTTCCCCCACTCAGAGCTTTCATACTGCCAGTAGGTACTTCTTATGCCACTTGCTTCTTTAGGGTAAATCTTCTCTACCACCTGCCACTGGGGGAAAAAAGTTTGTAAGGCTGTTACTAGTGTGGACCAAATGCCAAAAGGAAAGCAGAGAGAAGGACCAGATAAAGCTAAATTTCCATGTACTATTCCATTTAGATACCTCTTCAGAACTGCCTAGCCAGAACCTAAGGTTCAGCTGTATGTGTGTATGAGATGTGATAAGCTTTGCTGCCTCTATACAATGAGGTGGGTGGCTATCTAATGTTAGCAGGCGTTAATGCTCTGTTTAATTGTTGTTTCAGTCGGGAGGTAAAAGCAGTGCTGCTCTCCATTTTTCCCGGGCTGTCTGCCGCAGAGCTGAAAGGTGGTGAGTGTTGGGCTTGTTAATGTAACTTGAACAAAATGGATGAAAGATGATCAGATTGCTACAGTTGCAAACCATTTAAAGTTGCAGTCAGAGCAGCTGACCTTGGATGCTTTCTGCACTCAGCTAGAACTTGAGTCACGTTTGGTATGTTTGTATTGGTCTTCCCTCCCCAAAACTGCATCATCTGAGTTAAGAAGTTTAGAAAGAACAGGCCTGTTTATGCCAAGATGCACTGATGCATTCTTCTAATATCTCGTTTGCTCAGTGCGTTTTTGTAGGCTAGCACCTGTTGAAGCTGGTGCACTGGCAGATGAGATCCAGTGCAGTTTGTAGCAGCTTAAGATGTTACGGCCTACCTTAAGGATGTTACTTGTCCCACACCTCTGTTGGAGGTGAAAGCTCCCCTCATAAAGTCCACAGAAGGAAATATGTGCCTGCTCGTTGTAAAAGTAACTTCCATGCAAAATACCTTGTATTAGCCTGAACCTGCTAATCAGTTTTAACTAAGGTGCTGGGGGAATCCTTACTGAAGCAGCTGACAAGCAGAAGGACGTTTCCATGGACATGTTCTGCTGCAAGGAGAGCTACTCTGACTGTGGTCAACAGCAGCATCTTAAACTGCTGAAACAAGATACACTGGAAAAAATAACTTCATAGTCACTATTTTCTTGTCAAAAGGAAGCTGGAATGAAGGCTGTACACCAGTCAAGGGGCAAAGAACAGCTCCAAGAAGGGTCAGTGTTTACCTGCAGGAAAGGATAAGGATCTTCCAGGGTATTAATCACTTACAAATTGCTCCGTTGTTCAGTGATAACCATTCATCAGTATTCTTTAGAGGAGCGGAACTGCAGTCCTCCAGAAGAGTTCCAATGATTAGTTTTATTATGTAGCCACCATGATTCCTCTTGGAGAACTAAATGGCATTCACACATGCTATGGGGAATTAGAATGGGGACTCCGGGTGAGGCTGGAGCATTAAGTTTGCTGCTCCACCAAATTGCATTCATCTGTGCCTTCAGAGCTAGCAAGCTAAATACACTCACAATTTCCCTTTCTTCTTCTAGTGTGGTTCCAATAGTACAGGCAGGGGAAGCAGATCCAAATGTGGCCAAATATTTAAACAGGTAAAAACAAACAAAAAAATCCTACACCCTTTTATTGTGTCCTATTGAAGTGTGCTTGGTGTTGTTTCTCTACTCTTGGCATAGAACTGCAGGGTTTTACCTCTCAAGAAGCTTCCCTTCCAGATTAAGATCGTTGAAGTTTTAATAAACAGCTTGTTTAAAAAACATTTTTGCATGGCTTGTACGTGCCTGCGGACACTACTGGGGTGTTGAGGGAGCAGCCACTTAACTTTCTTCTTGAAGGTGACTTTGCGAATCACTTCTTCATATGGTCTCTCTTTGCCTGGCTTTTCCTGCAGTTCCTAGTGCTATGATTGAACGTGCTTTGTTGTGTAGTTGCACACTGCTAGATACAACCGCACCTGATGTGAGAAATGGTTTCACTGTTTTTTCCCCTTGGTTTCTAGACTGAGCGACTATCTCTTCGTTTTGGCACGTTATGCTGCAATGAAGGAAGGGAAGGAAGAGAAAATATACATAAAGTCTGAAGCGTAACTGGGAGCTGGGATGTTGCTTTCCAGATCATGAAAAGCTAAATCCAACAGACTGCTTTTCCCAGGCAAGAAAGGGAAGAGAATGAGCCTGGATTGGGAACGTGAGCTGGCCAAGAACTTCCAGCTAACATGACCAGGACCATGTTCATGAGTGCTGTAAGGAACACAGCTGTTCACTAGGCCTTGTCTGAATATCTCTTGTAGTAAGGGTGGTGGCTTCAGAATTAATGTTTGCTCCAAATTGGAACTGAGGCAGAAGACTTCAAATAAACACAGCTGATTTCTAGAGATGTTTTAAATTCTCTGGGCAGTGGCAGATGCTTTGAGAAGACTTTGACAGGTCTCCGAGGAACGGAGAAGAGAAAATAATCAGCTTCTCTTTAAGTCATAATGCTCACATGGAACAGCAACTGTGCAGAGATTCAGGAGCTCTGTCCACTAGCTCTGAAATAATAAATGTGATTTACTTGTACAAAAGGGCCCTTAACTGTCATACTTTAATGCTGAGCCCAGCTTGCTTTTCTTTTGTTAAGTTGCTTTCAATCCATCAGCTCTGACTGAAACTAGAAGAGCCTGTAGATTTACAGGAATGTACTCTCTGGCACTGGCTGCCTCTTTTCATGCATATGTGAAGAATTTCTCTGTGTATCCTGTGCCAGGAGTGGGGCTCACGCAGGAAAGGGGGATTAAAGGAAGAAGGGCTAAATCCTACAGTTCACGTGCAAGCAAGATCTGTGTAGCCAGCAGGAGTGGAGCTCCACGTGGAGCTGCCCTCCCAGCACACGGACCACTCTGGTCTCAGCATCCCCTTTTAGCTGCAGGTATCAGCTGAGGGGATAGAGCCCTACCATAGTCTGAGTCCTGTTATCAAGTATCTTCATAGGGGGGGCCACTCAGGTCGCTGAATCTGCAGATAGAGGGGCTATGATGAGCAGCAGGGGCCTGGGCCTTTTCAGCTGACACAGCTACAGTTGGAAGAGAGAAGCTAACACCTAAAAGTTCAGATCTCACAAAAAATTAGTGAAACTCCTAAGGCTAACACTGCTTCCCATGGAGCCTTCGGTAGAATAGATCTGAGCATATGCTGAAGTCTGAAAAATCTGGCTGCAAACATCACAATAGCAGAATGCAGTACTTAACAGAAAAGATATCCTCTGAGTCAGAGCTCACCTAGGTCAGCTGAACACTTAGTCTTTCAGAATAGCTGTATGTCTTGCTGCATTTTTTTTAAAAAACATTCCCTCACTTGCTATTTTAATGCTGCAACTTCAAGTGTATCAATCTACATCATACAAGCTCAGCAACCTGAGCCTCTAATAAGAAACCAAAGGCAGCTTTTCAGTAATTTGACAGAGCAAGCTAACTAAAATTTAAGAATCTTAGAAGAGCTATCTTGCAAGTTTTTCCAGCTGCCTGATGGATTGAAGACTGCTAGAAAAACATCCTGGATATGTAAATGAGTGCATTACACTAAGCTTAATGAGCTAACTCCTTGATACCCGTGTTGTCCAAAACTCCTGCAGCTTGGAAGCATAATTTGGAAGAATATATATCAGACATGTTGGTTTAAACTCTCTTGTCCTTGTAGGAAGGAGCCTTTCAGAGAAATTCTGTGGGCTGTAAGGCGATTGTGCTTTGAAAAAGCTCCATAGTAGGAGTGCATGCCCTGCGCTAAGAGTGCAGTTCTCAGTCTTGGGAGCTTTTAAGTCATGCAGCCTTCTCTGTTCAATTATTCAAGTAGGAACAACCTTAAACTTGCTTCCAGAAAGTATCTCTGGCTTTTGTGTTAACTTTTTAATCAGAGCAGGGTCAGAGTGAAGAATGCCCAGCACTAATAGATACTGCTGTCTCATTATTCACCTTTTTAAAAAAAAAAAAACAGATATTTCATAGCTATTGTTAATGTACATTTTTCATAGAGTAATTTTCCAAGCCTTAGCCTGTAACACATCCCAATGACAAATGCTCTTGATTTGGACTGTGCCGTCAGCTGCAATGTCACATCAGACATTTTCTCAATGCCTGCTCCAGACAGGCCATCCAGTTTTATGATAGCTCTGTTTCAGTTATCACTATTGAACCTTAAGAATCTAGAGGCTTTTCAAGTTTAATTGAACAAAATTCTTTGCAATATAAATTCTTCATGAATACTATATAAATCAGCTCCTAGATGGATTTATAGTTTTTTTTTTTTTTTTTCCTTCCGCTGGGGTGGGAGAAATCTCACTACTGTTTTGGGAGCAAAGCTAGTATTGTTTTGATTGCAAGGAGAAATAAATTTAGCTACTACATTTTAACATGATGTAGAGATTAAATTTATTAGAGTTCACACAGCTTGCAGCTCTCCCTCTCTCCCTTTCTACCTAAAGGTGTCTGTGCAATTGTTTCTACACAGCTGAAGCAGAGGGAGGCTGCTGTCAGGTGGACCCTGTTGTCTCCGATAAGGAGGCACAATGGGCCAGGGCTTGAATTTAGGAGTGAGCACAGATCAGGCTGAGAGCAGCCCTGGCCCCATGGGCTGCTGCAGTTTAGCAGAGCAGAACCCTGCAGAGACCATGCTTGGCTTGTTACAAGTTCAGACTGTTCAGGGCTTGTCCTGTGCCTCAATACCTTGTAGTAAAGTATTTTGCAGTATTAAAAAGAGGATTTTTCTGTCCTGGATGCTGCCCACTTAGGAGGGAGCTGATGGTCATTAAACTGCAGAAGGGCTTGGATCCTCAGGCCCCAGTGCACCCTACGCTCTCAGCTGGGAGCGGAAGCCAGTGGCAGGGGGGCACCAGGACTGAAGCAGGAGCCTTTTTGGACCGAGCTCTGGTGGCCGAGATGGCATCTGCTGGTACTCAGGGAAGAGCATGCACCAATGAACCAGAAGCTACGCTACTCCTACTTGGCTCATCTGTCCCCTATGTACAGTGTGGCTAAAATTAAATCCTAGGGGTTTCTGTGCTCTGGGTTAACATTTGTTTTCCAAGTCCTTTGGCCCACCCAGCAAACTCATCCTTACAGCCTAGGGATTCCAGTGCCTGCACCTCATTAATATAGTGGGAGGAAGGCAGATGCTTTGTCCATACTGACTGTATGCAGAGCCCGGATACATTTCTGCCTAGCAGGGTTCCTTATTTATGATTACGTTGTAACTGCCAGCACAGACATATGTTGCTAAGGGTCGTTTATTCTTGTTTGTAAAATGTATGACTGCTCCTAGCTTACACACTGTCAAAACTAGAAGAACTGGCCCCAAAATTTCTTTCTGCATGATTGGATCAGACGCCTGTACATCTGTTAACGCTGTAGGAGCTGTAAAATGAAATAAGTTTCACTATAACTCAGACACCTCTATTACTGCCGCAATGTGTAAGCAGCAGAGCCGGCTGCTGCTCTTGCAGAAATGACACAAACATACATTTTGCCAAGTCATATGTATATTTACACATGGCAGCATTTCCTTTGCTAATAAGGAGAAAGAAGGGCTGGTACATGCACGTGCTCCAACCTTAACAGGGTGCACTGGCCCCTGCTGACTAGCACCCAGTACAGTGCTGCGCTGCGTCCGAAGGGCAAGCCTCGGGGTGCACGCATCACCAAAATCAGAAGGCAACAGCACTCTTACTCTCCTCCAGTCAAGCTGAAGGACTGGAGAGAATCACATCTGCCATCAGGTCAAGTCCTCTGCAGTTGCAAGCCCCTGAAAAAAAATATTTTGCCTGGAAGGGGTCAGACAGAAACCCTCCCCAAGGTCCCAAACACCTTGATGTACAGCAAGGGAAA